GCAGAGCAGGGCTGCGCCCGGATGAAGGAGCATCCCCGCGCTGGGCGTCTGTTTCCTCCGTAAAATGTCTCCGGACCAATTAATGCAACTAATTACTCCTGCCTCACGGCCTCTAGATTGGGTCCCTCATTCATTTCCTTCCCCATCTGAAAAGAGTACGGTATTTGGAGGCTCAATCTCATGTCTGACAAAGGAAATCGAATCTGCTACCCGATCTGCTGTGATTCCCTCCTCGGCTTAACTTCTTTCAATGGGGCTCTTCTCAATCTCTTCCCAAGCCAGTTTGGTGCATTTTCTCAGCCCTCATCCTCTGCATGTAAATTAATCACCCTGCAAGCACCGCTGTGATCAACAACCGCCCCCTCCTCCCCCACACCACAACCGCCGCTGCCGCCACCACCGCACCGCATCCCTGCCCCCACCCCCGGCAGCCAGACCTGGACACCTGCCAAGCCCTGGCTGGCACCCGACAGGCCAGCTTCCAGCTCATCCACCCCCCACCCTCTGTCCCGCTCATCCCAACCCAGCGCCCAGACGCCCCTCCCTGGGAACCGCTAGCCCAGACATCCCCCAGGGCCAAACCCCCACGGCCAAACATTCTAGCCACCGCTCTCGTTGCGCCGGAGCCCAGCCAACGCACCGAGCAAAATCCTACGGTACCAACTGCCCCTTTCGACAACGACCCTCTGGCCTAGAGGCCCAACCGCCCATTCTGACCGAAGACCAGGGACCCAACTGTCGCTCCTCACCAAACTCCATAGCTCAGCTGCCTATTAACCAAACTCCGTGGTCTAGGGCCCCAACAGCCCCGCTATCTGGGGTCCAAGGCCCAATCGCCTATCCTGACCGAAAACTGTCTGACCCAGGGGCCCAACCACCCCCTTTATTTTCTTGAGGGGTCAGCTGCCCATGAGTGATCTTTGACTGGGAACTCGACACAGCTCAAGCAGCAGCGGGTGTCACCTCCTCCCCTCACCGTGCACCTGCATCTCTTGCCCATGAGAAAATGAAACAATACCAATACGCTGCCGTACTGGCCCGCCCAAACTCGGCACAGAAGCCGAACCTCACCGCAGATGTGAGCAATCTGGAGGCTTACGGTGGAAAATATTCCTCCCCCTCGGCCGGTTGCGTGCGCTCTCGAGTGCGCAGACGGTGCAACTGAAACCGGGGTGCATGGGTCAAAGGGGCCTAGGCGCTGGGCTCTGAAGAAGGGGGGAGGAAGCGGACAGGGGTGGGGCGCATTTCATTCCCTTACACAAGGGCCAATTCCAACCGCGCTACGCTACCGGACACATGTAGAGACCCTTAAGACTCGCATGCCTTAAGACTCACACGGAGACCCACGTATTTACCCATGGCCCAATACTGTAGCCGAGGAGTGCGCAGGCGGTGAAACTGCATCAGGGCCCACAGGCTTGAGAGGCCCAGGAGTCAGGCTTACACAAGTGGGGGGGGGGGGGGGGGGTAAGGCAGACAGGGGGACCCCAGTATATTGCCTGTCTCAGGGCAAACTGCAATCGCGCTCCACCGCTGCCGCCGGTGAGCGCTGCTCTGATGCCTGCGGTGATTTCTGGGAAGGAACTGGGGCTGGTTCTTTAACCAATGCCGGCAGTACGATGACTGGAAAGCTGTTGGGGGGGGCAAACACGTACAAAATAAACCCAAAAGAAAACACGAACAGAGTTGAACAAACATCAGCAAGGGCCGCGCCAGCTCAAAGTGATGGGAAACAAAGTCACATTAGGAAATCATTTCATCATATTATATTGTATTATATTATTATGTTCATAACCAGTGCTCGTGGAGCAGTGGTGAAGTGGTTCGCTCGCTCCCCTACAAATCCAGAGTTTGATTCACAGCCGCGGCGAACATCAGTGGGAGATGATACTTGAGCTGAACTAAACCTGACCTGACCACCTACTCACCCCACCCACAACCCTGTAATTCACCACCAAGTGCTGACCAGCGCGGTGAGAAAAACATTACAATAAGCATCTCAGGGCACCGTGCCACTCGTGCTACGTCGTGGCTGGGAACGTACGAGTCAAAAAACCGCCACGATTGACACGGCGTGGGGAGGCAATTCACTCCGCAGTTGAGTGATAATATTAGCGGTAGCAGATTGAACAGTAATCGGCGAGCAGATGTTAGCTGTGGCTGATGATCTCAGAATCGACAAAACAAAGACAATGTCAGGCATTACCGCAACGCACTCGGCTGACGTGACGGCGGCTGCGTGGATGATCGTTCTGTCAAAAATGTGCTCAAGGCGATACCACCGGCAAACAACCAACGCGGCTAAGAACGCGGCCGACGGCGGGAGGGGTCTCCGGGCTACGCCGCAGAGGCCGCCGCGCTACGGCGCCGCGTCGCTGCAAGGCGATGCAGCGCGAGCCGCGCCGACACCGCGAGAGCAGCCGCCTCGAGGTCGGCCTTCCGTGACCCCGCACGCGCCGGACGCTGCCGTGGCTTAACGCCGCGCACGCCAGCCAGGCGACTTGCGATACGAGTCGGCGGCTCCCCGCTCACGCGAGAAATGCGGCGACGGTCACCTCCCGCAGTAGTCGGAGCCAGTTATGCTTTAAGATTGCCAAGTGTAGACCACCGATGAAATGTTACTTTTTTTATTGACCCCCCCCCCCCCCCACCACTGCCGCGACCAGTATCAGGAGCGCAGGGTGCGGCAACCTGAGCCCTCAGCGTGCAGCACCGCCGTGCCGGACGCGAGTGTGGGTCGGCGGCGCGAACAACTCCGCTCCTGGAATCCGCACCACCGCCGCCGCCAGCACAGTCGATGTGTTCCACGACGCCACGCGCCTCGACGAGCCTCGGAAACAAACGGCAAACTGTAACGGGACGCAAGGCTCCGGCACCGACGTCAACCGTGGTGCCAGCGTCTGTGCCATGGCGGCGTTGGCAACACCGCGGTGACCCCCGAGCCCAGGCAACACGACGCGCGGACACAAGACAATCGCCCTCCTTAATTAACGCCAACAAGCTGGACGGGCATCCTGCAAGACGCCTGCCCCATCCGCCCCTCCTCCAAACTCACGACACAGTCACGGTAACAACGTGCCCCGTTAAAGAAAAAAAACTAAGCCCACACGCCGGTGCGCCACCCCGCACCCTTACCCCGTTAAAGACCACGTCCAAGCACCTCCGGCACCGCGTACAGACGTGTTTACATTAGTAACGACAATGCCGCCAATTAACAACGAGTGACGAAGTGGCTCCCCATTGTTCGGGGAAAATTCGCAAATTCGCTCCAGCAAAGTTGGGGCTGCGGGAGAGAGCCGCGGCTCGGTTGCAGCGAGGGCGGTGCGCTCGTGCAGCGCCCTCGCTGGCTAATTAGCGGCCACGCCGTAAAAAAATTTAGAGCGGCGGCGATGTTCGTCGCGCCCGGGGACCGATGGCGTCACCGCGATTGCTCGCAAAAAAACCCCCGGCGGTGATGCCGCCGCCGCCGAGGCCGCGGCCGCGAGCGGCGCCGCAACTCATCGCCGCGAGGTTCGCCTCGCGCCGGCGCCGCGTCGGGTTCGCAAAGCGATTCACAAAACACGACAGCAACGACGACAAAAGGGTGCCCACCCGCACCAACCATCGCCACCCCACTGCTCCGCGTCGTCGCGCCCTCAAATTCTCCCACAGCTATCCTCAAAATTCTCTCAAAATCCGTTACAGCCGGGCAGCCATGTTGGATAGAAGGATGCGAAGCGATGCCGTAAAAAAAAAATTCTCTCTCCCCGTGGCCGTTCTCTTACCAATCAACGCTCGCCGCCACACAGACAATTAATTGTTTTCGGTCCTCATTAAGCGCACGGGGGAGGGGGAGGGAGACAAACAAGGCGAGTACGCGTATTACTGCTAATCACGATTATGCACACTTCTTGGCAGCGCGCCTGCGCTGAAAGAATAGCCAAGAGAAAAGCAAGACGCCGGGCGAACGGCGCGATCGGCGCGATCGGCGTGCACGGGAGGGAGGGAAGGTCTAGGGGCGGCGCAGTGGGACCGGCAGGGAGCGGCAAGCCCATCACTCTTCAGCACAACATCGGGTGGAACAACAACAAAAAAAATTAAGCACAATTAAAAGCGTGGGAACGAGGGGGGGGGGGGGCAGGGCGCCGGGCGGCATTAACATTCGTGCCGAGCGGCGGCGGCGGCAGCGGGCGTGGATCGCACGCTCCGTGCCAGCTCGCCGTGCCAGCGCAGCCGCTGCGGCCGCCACCATCGCAACCGCCGCCACGGGGCCCACGACGCAAACCAGGCCACGTCGCGCAGCTCTCGTGTCGCACACGCGCCCCGGAGGTGCAGAGGGGGGGTTTGCAATGGAAGGGGGAGGCTGGGCAGGGGGCATGGGTTGGGGGACAGTCGGCGAGGAGGGGTTGGGGTCAGGGAGGGAATGAGAGTGGAAAAGCAAAAATAAAAAAACAGCGCTGCATCTCCCGAAAGAAATCCACGTTCGCGCATTCCGCAAATATGGGTACTAATTAAGCGAGCGTTGATTACCTTTTGCAACAGACGGACGGATGGGGGGGGGGGGGATGTAGGGGGGGGCCGACGATTATCACAGCTCTCCTTGGAAGGGTTTCAGTCGCACGCGACAGACGGAGCGCCGGTTCCCAGCGCGCCCCGCACGAGCTGCCACGCGCGTGCCAGGGCTGGGGCGTACTCCGCCGCCTCCGCCCCGCTCCGGCTGGCTCGGGCGAGGAGAAACCCCCGGACCTGGAGACACCCTCCTCCTCCGGCTGCCCCCCTCGCCCTCTTGCGTCCCCGCTCTCTCCCGCCCCTGCTGCCCTCTTTTCTCTCTCTCGATCGCTCGTTTGCGGGTTTTTTTGTTTGTTAGCGCCGCGAGTTGTTGGCAGCGATATCGAAGTTGGTTCAGTCGCGAGCGCCGGCTCGTCGTCACAGCGCTGTCCGATCGCCGACGTGAAGCGGCGGTGAGGAATAATAAAAAGTCGAGCAAGGAGCGATCGCGTCGCGTGAGCGCGGGCGCTGCGAGTCGCTGCGTCTCCGCGGTGCCCACTCACTGGCGCGGGCGTGGTGCGTGCTGGGGTCTGCGCGTCTCTCCGCGTGCGTCAAGGAACCGTGGGGATTGGATCGAGCGCGCGCGCGCACACACGTACGTATGTACGCCGTCGCCGCACACACGCCCGGCCCAGAGATGGCGGCCGCGCCGCCACCGCCGCCGCGACCTCGCGATAGCGCCGGTTTTCGCGGAGGGCCTCGCTGTAGAATCGCAAAGGTTCGCTTCTACGCTCCCTCCCGTCACGGTCTCACCGGTCGCCTCGTCTCGACGACTCTTGTTTACCACAACTGCGCCGAAGGATTTCAGTCGACAAACAAAACCGCAGCGGGTTTTGGAAAAGTGCCACCTGGCCTGCGATCGTCACAGCACGGAACTGTCACGAGTTCGCTCCACAAATCTAGCGTCTGATTCCGAGTCGGCGCGTGCGCACTCGACGCGGGCGCGTAGCGAGCGTTCGCGGTTTTTAGAAAATGTTTCGGTGAATGCACATTTACGCGATAGTGCACGGAATATCAAACGCGCAAAAAATTGCGTTTCCAAATTCACCGAATTTGAATTCGGACAAAACTGAAGCTATTACGTGACGGTGGAGTACGCTTGAGGCCTACACCAGCCTAGATCGCTGTTTTCATATCATGCAATTTCCAGTAATGCAACCGTGCGGTTTGGCCGTTACTATTATTTTGGATTTATAAAAAATTGTGATTCACGTCCCAGAGAAATCCTACTAATTTCATGTTTTACCAATATCGTCTTCATTCGGCACCTATAAGCATTGCTTCAGGATCATATAGCCTCAATATAACATCATTTACACAAACGTTGCCCAAATATTTAATGGCATGGCTTCACTTGGCCTCTACCCTCAGCCCGAGACGAGGAATTCGAGCCGAGACGCGAAAGTTGAGCTGCCAAGTTAGGCAACATCCTTTCTTCCTGTTGACAAATCGCATCGCTTTCTCTCAGTTCAGATGCTTATGGCGAACGGAACTAAAATAACAAGCAAGCCCATTTGCTTTCGGCTCAACGAGCAGTCGTCAAAAAAAGTTAAAGCGAAAATACCGGACTCCAAAGTCTACGTGACTTCACATTAAGTATCGATGGAGAAGAAACGCAAATTGAACGTGAACGCACAACTTTAGCTTTTGGATTTTGCCTGAAGGGGCAGCAGCAGCAATACAAAAATCCCGACCGCGCCTCATGAATAATAAATCACTCGGCACCAGCACCATTGGACGTTCCATTGCAGCGACACCAGGACCACGTAGCGCCCATCTAAAATCCGAGGTTAAAACCACGTCTGCCCTGAAATTACCCTAGGTCCGGTTTAACCACAGCCTGTGACCAAAATCACCCGTAACGCACCCAAACTCGTCACATTTCGGAAAGCCAGGCAGGGCTGAGACTGAACACCGCTCGGATGGGTGACCTACGTACATAACAGGTGCTATGGGCTATGGTACCACATCGTCAGTCGAGGGCAGTGCAACAAAATCCATTGTTGTGCTGTATTTCTTTGCTCCAAACGTCAACGCTGCCTAGCTTTCACCAAACCACACTGACCGGCATGGTGAAGGATGTGCAAATAGCCCCCACCCTCAACCCGCATGGTGTGAAGCGACCATCATCCGGCCGGCAATTGATAAGACATCCATGAATGCCGTTTTCAACGTCATACGCGAGTTCCTCTCGCTCGCGGCGTGCATAACGTGCTCATTTTGGAACACTGGCTAGGATTCCACTGCACAGAGTTTTGGTTGTTCATTAGTCATGTTTATATAATTTTCCTGCTTTTGTTCGATGCAACCCCAGTAAACTTCCCCTCTCCCATGGAACGCGCTTGCCAGTTTGGGCTGGTCGCCTTTAGAAAACAGCGCCTTAGCTAAACTAAAAACTAAACTAAACTATTTTTATTTTACCAGGTAAGGCCCACTGAGCTCTGCAGCTCTTTTTCAGAAGCGACTTGGCCACAAATGATAGCCCAACGAAGTCGCTAATTAACGTGGAAATGTATAGCAGCCAAATACTCTAAAACCAATGGTTCTTAACCTTTCCTGCAGCCTGTACCGCTTTTGTTCTCAGAAGGAGCATCTCGCACCAGGGGGTGCGTGCACCGCAGGTTAAGAAGAACCACTGCTTTAAACGTACTTCGATTATAAATACGGAGGAAAAAACCGGAGGACCCGGAGAAAAAAATTGTGCGACCACGGGGAGAACATGCAAACTCCAAATATACAGCAGCAGGCGTCAGGGTCGGGATCGAACCCACAACTTTCTATATACCAGGCGAGGTAGTTAACATCTCCTAGCCACCGTAGCGTCCAACTATTTGACAAAAAAGGGAATGCAGACGGCGACTCGAGGGCTCAGCAGCCAGCGTGCAGCAGCGTCCGTGACTCGGAGGAGTCGCTGGAGCGGAAACTTGTCGCACCGGCTCATGCGTGGCACTCGCTCTCGCTCTCACGAATGGCACTCGCACACGTTCACGCATCGCACAACAAAAATGCGTCTTTCTTTTCCGTAAAAAAAAAAAAAAATCACCATCACGGCTAAAGTGAGGTTTGTGAATTTTAATGTTTGTAAAATTTAAAAAAATGTGTTAAGTGGCGCAACTTGAAAATGTCAGTTATTTTGGGGTAATGCCGCAAACAAGCAGGCAGCTCGTTATCTGGCCGAGATGTTGATGGTTTTTACGTTCACAGTAGTGTCGATACATTACGAATATTGAATGTCACAAGATGATGACTACCTATTTCTGCCATCATTGACGAAACAAATCAGTGGCATTTAATGTAAGCTAATTATTTGGTGGCGCTGCTTGTGTTAGCAGGTGTACAAAAACGGAGCGAAAAAAACTAAACATATTCGTCAATTACATTTCTTTGAAATAAGAAAACATATAAAAGTTGATGTTTCAGGCAATGGCCCTCCTTCACAGCACACAAAATAGCACATTCCTCTCGCTATTCAAAACCCATAGCACATTCCTCTTAGGAGTTCCAAAAAGAAAATTGTGGCACAACTTCCAAATATTGTGCAAAAAACACTGTACTTATACCGCGAGATGTTCATGTTGGAAATACTTAAAACTGGAAATATGAGTGAAGAATTACAGAATTTGCTGATGTTAGACACGTCTGCTTTAAATTGGGGGGGGGGGGGGGGGGGGGAAACTAAGTAAAACAGATCCAACACAATTCGCCAACCCAGAGGTCACATCGAAGTATCCACCAGGTGGCCATCGAGAGGGCCGGGTCGCTCGTCATTTTGCAAAGAAAGGAAAAAAACAACAACGTCCAGGCACCACACGTGCAAACCGCCACGACGCTCCGCCACGGTGCTCCGCCACGGCGCTCCGCCACGGCGCTCCGCCACATGCAGAGCCAGCCACGACGGAAAGTACGCGGGCCGTAATTACATCCGGCGAATCGAAGAATTACAATTTCAATAATGTCCACGAGCACATCAACCATATGCTGGGTCACATGGGGAGTACGACCTGCGGCAGTTTGGGTAGGTACTGGAATTATGATTTTGCTTGTTTTGAAATTAGCGTGTTTTTTTTTTACGAGCATAAACTAAAGTTGCGAGCACAGTCTCACACACAAACCGAATAATTGCGCTAAGCGACAGCAGACATGCGGAGCAAGGCGAGCCAGTGGAATAATAAAAATAATAACGATAAAGCTGCCGGATAATGCACCGCATAACGAGGGGGAAAATTGCGGTAAAACAAAATCACCAAACAAACGATGTGATCAAAATCGACGTTCGGGATATACAATCGGCGGTGCGGTTCGAAAGGGGGGGGGGGGGGGGAGACAAAACTAGGCGTCATGCTGGACGCTCCGATACCAGGCGGTGGTAGGGGTGGGGGGCACCCCGTGTTCAGACGCCATTTTGCGACGGCAGCGCGCGACAAAATGGTTGCGCGGGCACAAAACCCCTGACTGGAGAAATGCCAAATTAGGGCTCCGGCAGCGGGGGCAGCCATGGGGGCGGGGAGCGACGCGTGCACAGGCGCACACACACGCACACAACACGCGCTGGCACAAACGCGCACGCAAACAAAAAATACTAGACTACGCATGGCAAGCCAAAAAGCTCTCTCGCGCGCCGGTCTCACAAGCGCGTCGGCGGCGCTCGCCGCTCAGAACCGCGGTGCTCGCGCAACGGAGCCTCCATTTGCCAGGAAAGGCAACACGGACGCCGAGTTACTGCGTAACGGGCGAAAGAGCAGCGAGAGAGCAGCGAGGGAGCGCCAGTGCCCGCGCGGGAACTCGTCACGTTTTCACCGAAAGCACCCGGCATTGCGCGCAGCGGCGAGAAATTCGTGTTCTAAACGGTTAAGGGTTGCGAGGCAGGTCTACGTAGACACTTTGCATCCACGCTCCGAGACGTCCGTTACTACACGGGTGCTTTACGGACGTAAGTCGTCGTCGTCGCCGTCGTCATTAACAAATGCCACCGGCGTGAAACACAAAGCGGGCTGTGCGACGGGAGGCCATGTGACGCGTGTTGAATATTGCAGAGACGGTCTCAGTACGTGCATGCGCAAAGCACCTGCAAGGTGGGCGGTGGGCGAGCGGGGAGGGCCTCGAGGAACTGCAACGCACGGTGCAGATATAGGTTACGCACATCAATTTAACTCCCATTAGAATCGCTTTACGATCCCTGCTGTACGAGCCTTACAGAAATCAGGCAGTGAAGGTGCACAGTGCCTTGCCAGTCCTAAGCCTAAAATGTGTTTAGTGTTTTTTTGTTTTTTGTTCTGATTTCTTTACTTCATTGCTGTACTTTTTTTTATTTGTTTGGCTTTTGTTGGTTTTGTGACTCAGCTTACTCTTGTAAATTAAACTTATCCTGGTCTTATATTCTTGGTTCTTCCGGTAAAGTCACATTGAAGGGAAACAATAAAATAATACTATATATAAAACAATAAAATTCTCACGACGTTTCGACTGCAACACAAGCAGTCATCATCAGGTGTGAAAACCAATGGCAATGTTCTTGCCGTTGGTTTTATATATATTTTTATGATTTTATTGTTTCCCTTCAACGTGACTTTACCGAAAGAACCAAGAATATGAATCACTGCAGTCACGAAAGCTTTAAATCAAAATTCATCCTGGTCTCTTGAGTTTTGACCTGGTTAAACAAAATAAACTTGACAACAACTACAAACTCCGGTACTGAAGATGTGGAATTTGCCCTCTCACTGGGTATCTCTGCCCTTGTGTCACTTGTGTTCATTTATGGCCACAACTAAGGCCCCACTTCACCAACCTGCACCTGGCCCTGTTTAGCACAACATAAAATCCAGTCATTGGGGTGTAGATTAGGGTAGTTTTTCTGTGGCTTGATGGTGGATGTCCTGCAGAAACTGCACAATGGTCAGTTTCTCCTACAGAAAATTGTGATTGTTTCACAGGCCTGTTGGGCAGATAAGGCCTGCAACTTAATTTCATACGCCCAATGGCCACACAAGGCCAACCTCTTTGAATTGGACCACAAAACGATATTCAACAGTCACAGCAAGTGTCTTTGCCACTCTAATAGAATACTAGAAGGGAATGTATTTGACCTGTTAAATAGTACTTCTGTTACTACAAGGGACCCTACAGTGACCAGATGTGGCTGAGATGTGTGCATTAATCTACGGCCCTCCAAGGGTGCTTGAAATGCCCTTTTGGACCCTCAATAAAAAAAGGTTCTCCACCCCTGGAATGTGGTATTTATGACATATGTGTTTTGGTGTTATGGTGTGTATGGGGGAGCTGTAGTGTAGCGTCTGGCACGCTTCGCTACGAACCCGGCGACCCGATTCCATTCCCACTCACGGCCAATACCAGTGACGATTATCTGAAACTGTCTTGGGCCTCACCTAGGTCGACTCAGCCTCAAATGAGTACCTCGTGTAGTGTGTAAACATTGCCACAAGAGAGAAAAAGGCGACCGGACTTGGTGCCGGCCACCCACCCCCTCGTGTGCTGTGCCAGCCTTCATAGGTCCTCATGAGCACCACTTACCCCAAAAGCCTGTTAAGGCTATACAGAATGTTGGTCCAACAATTCCAACCACATGCCAACGTTGCCCAACATTGGCACATTTACCGAGCTCATCTTGCGGTGACAGTAGTGACCGAGATGTTTTGGGGAACGAATACCTCCGGAAATTATTTGATAGTCCTATTCCGATGTATGTAGGTATGTTGAATTTCTTTTGTGCCGTACAGAGCCAACCGTGCTAATCGGAGGTGCGGGGGAAGGACGAAAAATAACTCCCCCCCACCCCTGCCCTACATGGCCCATACCGTAACAAGTTGTGGCCGTTTCACGGTGGCACAGCTATCGGCGCTGGCAGAACAACAGGCATTGTCACTTGGGCTTCTTGGAGCACTTACTTTTACATGTTCACAATTTTTATGACAGGCTCTGTCATCATGGATCAATCAAACATGTTAAATTGTCCACAGGGATTTGTTTAAAATGTGTGCTCCAAAAAACATTGCCCATAAAGCACCCACGGTGCGTGTCTCCTTCTTGTAAGCAGCGTCCTGAGACATGGTCGCGTTTAGACACAAACAGCCCTTTGTTGATCCACAACTGGATGAAGGCCTAACCACACTGTCTGTATCTATGTATGTTGAACTGCTTTCGCGCCATACGTAGCCAATTGTGTTAATATCTGAGGTGCGGGGGACGGATAACAAACTAAACAAAAGTTAATTCTAAAGAAATTAGTTTTCAATCTAAATTTAAAAGTGCATAGCTCTAGTGGCTTCCTAATATTAGAAGAGCGTTCCAGACGGCCACAGAAGCGCATTTAAAAGCACGCGATGGAGTGACTGCCTTTGTTCGATGGCCAGCCAAAAGCCGCTGCGAGGATGACCAGAGTTCGCGTGATGGTTTAGGCTCCTTGACGAGATCAGCAAGGTAATGTGTCGACCACGGGGGTTGTATGACCATACATGGACACACTAGTCAGTGCAAGTTGGTGACAGGTGGGAAGGCCCAGGACTAGTTCAGATATCACTCGCCATGGATTTAGCTCTGGCTGGGAGTCGACCTTGTGTTGCCAGGTTCTTGGCACAGTGCACAAACCACTGCACCACTGCACAATAAAAAAAACTCAATTATCCTGCAAGGTAGCGGTAGGGTCTCCAGTTTGTACCCTACGTGGAAGTCATGGCTGGGAGATCTGAACGCAATGGGACCCATACCACATCTGAAACTTGGCTGAATGTGATGGCTCAGAGGCAGCTATCGATCACTGTGACACAAACACTCCTATAGCTACAGCATCGCACACCCAACACTGTAATGAATACGCACGTAAAACCGCATCGATGTATCGATTTAAGTAGACGATGTTTGCTCAGGATACATGAAATTGAATTGTGAAAATAGGATACTCTGGATTCGTATAGGTTGTACGAGATGTAATTGGTTCATGTACACCAGGGGTGAAAACCGACAGCCCGCAGGCCAGATACTACGCGCATCTTAGCAACACTGTGTACTGGAGAACGCTTTTTGGTTAACACTCAGGCAGAACAGAAGAGTGGCAGTGCAGTGGTCACACTTGCGCCTCACAGTGAAATACCTAGGTTTGATTCCAGACTCGGGCATCTTTCTGTTTGTATGTTCTGCCACTGTTCTGCATGGGCTTCCTCCAAGTTCTCTGCTTCCCCCATAGCTAAAGAACATACATGATTGGTGTTGGCCAAGCATCTCAATGCAGACACAAAGTGTGGCTTCCCACGCAAAATAAGTAAATGTTAATCACGCTAGTGCACTCAAGCTATGTGTGTCACTGCAATGGCCTATGGATGGCACAATCCAATGCTAAGCTAGGTTACTGTAGAGCACAATTCTAAACTGAGACGATACGGCAATATGAAGACACAGCTCACGAGTACCAATAATTAAAAACTCAACACATTCTTCAATAACACTGCGGCGTTAAGAGGAAACATATTTAAAAGATGACGTTTCGCGCATAATGGAAATTGCCTGAAGCATTGACTATTATATATTTGTTTCACTTTAAAGGCCAGTGCTATTAACACGTGTTGAGTTTTTGTTGATTGCGCCTGTGCACCACTGCCAACACAGCAGCAGCAGCAACACCACCTAATATTTTGTAAAATAATCATGAGCGTCATTGTTGAGAATATAAGTAACAAAATGGAGACGCAGACAACTCCCCTCGGTCATATATCTGTCTCTTCATATTCGTATTGATTGACAAGTACTGCACTGTATCAATACAAGTCGGTATTGATTTGCACGCTGTGCAATTTTAAAGCTTTGGGAGTGTGACTTCATTTAATTTTCCAATATTTGCATTGTTTGGGGCCCCCCTCATCCCCCAACAAACCCCGTTATACGCGAGGCACAGAATGTACGTATGTTGACCTTCTTTTGCACCGTACGTAGCCAACCGTGCTAATCACATACTCTATGCATTCGGATTAATTGACCCAACGATTCCAACGGCATGCCAACGTTAGGCCAACGTTGCACATTTACCAGATTGTAGTTGCAGTTCAGTATGCACCTCGGGCTGTGGATCTGCAACCGTTGAACACGAGTTTGCAGGCTTCGATATTAAATCCAGGGTAAAGTTATATGGTCAGGCGCTCAATTATAGCGCTCCGGTGGCGTAACTCTAAACATATTAATACTATATAAATCGTTTATTCGCACATTCACACTGAAATGAGTCAGAGCGGCAGACACGCCGCGGCTGCGTACATCATTTCAGAAATACATAAAAAATATATATACTGTACGTGAATGCAGGAAAAATATTTAACAGCTCACGTTTCAGACAATGGCCCTTCTTCATTGCACATAATGGAATTTGCCCGAAACGTCACCTTTATATATTTTTTTACTTTCAACGCCAGTGCTATTGAAACAGGATTTCTCCACAACTCTGGCTGTCGCCTGATGATGGCTGGTTGTAATTACCGGCGAAACGTTGTACTCGAATTGTAAATGTTGTGGGTTTACTCTCCAACACACCGGTGTGCTGAACTAGTAACGAATTGGCATGTTTTGTTCACGTGACAAACCTTACTAATTGGCTGCGTCAGGTGGTGGCGGGTTTAAGACACATTTATATTTATGCGATCTAAACCAAAAACCTCTATTAAGGTTATTGACAAATGTGTTAAGTTGTTTTTGTGGGGGGGGACCCCAAATAATGCAAACATTGGAAGAGGAAGTGGACCAAATATAAATGCATTATTGTCTCCGATATTAACAAAGCAATGGATGTGTGAGAATTTTATTGTGTTATTTTATTATTTTATTCTCATTCTACGTGACTTTACCGAAAGAACCAAAGAAGGTGTGGAACACCGTTGGACACAATCGACTACGTGGGTTGTTTTTTTCCCTAGGTCTTCCAACCATCCTACCGCCACGACTCCTCAAAACCCCCAACCCCGTTGTCGGGGGAGAGAGGGGCAGAGTATAAATTATTTTCTGGAGCTCAGCCTAAGACAGCTCCAACTGAAAAAAAGGCTTGGTTATTGTGCTTTGGTGAAATACCCACCGTGGTGAGCGGAGGCCACGCCGATGAGACCACGTGTTCCTCCCTCTCTCGCCGCGTGGCAAGCGGAGTCGCTGTCCACGGCTCGGGTGCTGAAGCGGCCTCTGTTGGCTCACAAAGCATCGATTAATCATGTGCGCACATGCCGAGCTACCCTTTGCCAATCCAATGCTGTATGAGGCCCTACTCCCACGCGAGAAAATATATTACTTTCACTTAAGGACAATTAAACGGGTTGGAAAACAGGAAACAAAAAGAATCGATTCTTGAATCGAATATGTACTGTAATGTTGACGGTTATAAAAAATAAAGGGGCCTGAATTGTTACAGGCCTAGTTGAAGTGTCAGGCAATGGCCCTTCCTTACAGCACATTATTGACCAATGTCGAGTTTTCTTTTATACTGTGCACGACTGCCAACGTAGCAGCAAAATATAATTTGTTGAACATTCCTTGTTGACACACTTTGTAATGAGCATCAATCAACATCACAGACTGGCTGCCTCGATACAACAAATATGCCCACTGTGCCTGTTCAGCTTCTTGAGATGCGGTCATATTTAAGACCCTTATGTAAAACCACATTCAATTGTATCACACACAGACACATACAAGCTTATTCGCGTGGGTACCTCCAAGGTTACCCGTACGGTAAATAACCCAGGTCATTCCCTGTAATTATATGTATACGTTACTCTTTAGCGTAAACGTTTGTGCAATTTCTGTACTCTTTGAGAGTCAATAATATGTTGTCTGATATATAGAGCGTATGTTCATGTAACTTTAGCTGAACATGTTTAATGATGTGTAGGCTTGGAATAAGGTTATGTTGAGTTACATGCATTATAGAATTTCCATCACTCGGTATATAGCAGGTGGTGCAACTACACTGGGCCCACGGGCCAGAGGGGCCCAAGCACTCGGTTCCAAAGAGTGCGGTAGCAGGGCGAATTGGAAAGTGCGCCACATTAAATTCCTTGTACCATGTTCCATGCCACAAATCACGCGACGCCACCGATTTGCATACTCGCCACTGGCATTCATGGTATACCGTCCGTGTTATGCATTCCCACAAACTCTCTCACACGGTGCAAAGGACATCAGCAACACAGCCGAGCTAGAGATCCCGCTTCAACTGTGTCGCCTATTTTCCTCCAAACGTTGCACATTTCTTCCCATCTCAGCGACATCAATAACCTTGGCTCCTACGTACACCTTTACCGAATCTCACTCCGTGTGTATGCAGCCAACTCCCGTCACCCCCGAGCGTTGCCGGGCCATCCCTCCCACGCGCCGCAGAATTTGCCATCGAATTTTTGCACAAATTAAAAACAAACAAAAGCGAATTGCCACGAGACGAGAGAACACGTTCAGTATGTGCGCAAGAGGAGGGCCGGAGTGTGAGCGAGAGGCGGGAACGGGCGAGAGACAGAATGGGTGCATGGCCCAAGCATCGACCCCCGAGTGCTGGCACTGTTCCCTGGCCGCTGTTTGACCGTGGGAGGCAGCCAGGCGTCACTAACCACCGAGCAAGGGGTGGGGAACATGGCGCTGACAGACAGCATTGATCAAATATCAAATGCGGAAACACCAGTGTCAGCATGGGACATCAACAGCAGCAGTCATTGTCAATCCACTCACTGGAGGAACGTTTCCCCAAGCTGTCGACATCTCTTACGGTCCTACGATGTAACAATCCACACATAGCATCTGCACATGAGCTGATTTCATCACAAAATCCCAAGTGTGTTTCCACTTTTTGGCTGTGACTCGACCATTGACCATCATCCCACCTTCTACCGACGTGCCCTGCCAAAGCCCGCTTTTCTTAACGTGCAGACACGATGCTATCTCTAATTTGCATGTGCTTTATAATCCGTGCATTACTCTTTCTCTCTATGTAATTCCAAGTGTGCACCTTTGGCGCAATTCAGGGTGATTTGGTTGGAGGGCAGGGGCTCATTTCATGAGGTCCCGGGAAACAAGCAACATCGGCCCAACGTCAACTGTTGGTCCAACGTTGCACGCTGACTGGGGTGGTAGTGGTTGGGCCAGGAGTTACTGGGGAATACAAGTGCCGCCTTGCCCTCTTGCTGCTCACCTCACCCAACAGCACATGTTACACTAAAGCGCTACAACTCGTGAGCGGTGATGAAAAGCAAGATCGTTGTTAACCAAGCACCTGAGGCTCCGTCATGGTACACTATGCTCAAAATTACGGGCTGGTTGTATGTAAGCTGAACTCCTTTCGCACCATGTGTAGCCAACCGTGCTAATCGGTGGTTCAAGAGTGGGGTGCCCCAGAATGTTTAATCAAGACCCCGCTATTTTCATTAAGACCAAATGTATGAAATTTAAGGCTTGTAATCATATAAGGGACTCCTCTACTTACGAACTTTCATTCGACTTACGAACTTTCAGAGATACGAACGAGTAGTAAAAGTTCAACCGCTGCGCAATAGATGGCAGTGGTGGCATCTACATCTGCAGAACATGAAGAACCAGTGGCGTCTACATCTACAGAAGATTATACAACTTTTAAAGCCATTCCCCATGTTTAGCGTACATGCCGTACAACATGTTTGGAATCGACAGAAGTTGTACTAACGAAAAAATCGACTTATGAACAGACCTTTGGAACCTAACTCGTTCGTAAATAGAGTCCCCGTATATATAATCTAAACAAATTAATACACCGGAATTCACAAAACCGATTTTGGAACGCAAAATTCAATGCCAATGTACACACTACATCGCAAAGCTGGGACTGCCCAACACGTGGCGCTTCTGCGCAGCCAACAAGAGGCACAAAATAAAACCTCACATTCGGCAAGATCACATATACGCGACGTTTTGGGCAACGGCCCTTCCTCGGAGCACTCAATTACGTGCTGTGACGAAAGGCCATTCCCCAAAACGTCACCTCTTAAATATTTCCTTTAAGGCAGTGCTATTGATCTGTTGAGCGTTTTGTTGTGTTTGTGCATCATTTTAAGTGGAACATCACAAGGTAATGTTTCACAAGTCAGCCTTTGCGTTGCACGCCGTTCAAATGCAATTATTTCCCCATAAGACTCTAATATGTATGGGACACAGTATATCCGCCCGCGTCAATCTGAGAACACACTGTACCTCGGTATTGGGCTGTATGCCCCAAGGTGGATGCGACACACGTGCTGGTGGAAAGGATATAGCGGTCGCTGAGAACGGAGGAGCCAGACACAGGACCCCTGTCACAGGGGATCCTTCCGTACAAGAGGGCACCCCTCTGTGTTCGACGGGACCCTCCTTTGTGCCAAGACAGCATCAGCAAACCGGAGTCCACCTGTGCGGACGAGCACACGTGGTGGGGCGGAAAGGGTGGCGTTACACGGGGACACACCCTGACCCTGGAGAAACCATCTTGCCAGTGGGGGAGGGAAACACCTCTACTTATACGACCAGAGGATTATTCCAGTGTTTGAAATTTGACCAAAGTAGTTATTTAAATGGGATGGAGTAGTAGCTCAGCAATTACCGCACTGTGCTATGAACCAGGAAAATCCGAGTTCAATTCCCAGCCACGGCTAACATAACCGGTCAGTGATATCTAAACAGTTCCAGGATTTATACCTTTGCTGTCCCGCTCTGGCCAGCATGAAGTGTGGTCAAACAACTCCCTTGACTGTCACGGCTTGTGAAGGCCATCATCCAGTAGTAGTTAGGAAAACGGATGTTAAATTATTTTACTTATTTACGTGTACAAACTAAACAAAGATACACACACAAACGTTTTAATCACTTTTTATTAAGTCAACGTAACCACAATACAAATGTAAAAACTGGTGAAGTTTAACATTAAAACACATGTATTTGCCTTTGTACAATGTTTCCCAAAGAATAAACAATCAAAGCTTTGACAATCCTGTATTTACAAATCAACATTCAACATATTTTAAGCAATGAAATAACACCGCTAAATATTTACATTTATCAACCAATGCTTGCTGCCCACAATATCATACCGCTAATTGGCTCATACACCATGAAGTGACCACCATTGGCATTTCGTTTTTGAACAAAACATACGTAAATTTATAGTCCTTCAGTCAACCCACTTCTGGATGAGGGTCTCCCGATGCCATATGGATGATTGGGGTTATATGGCCATCTTTCACCATGCTGGTCAGTGCAGGTTGGCTTTGGAGAACAGTAGTGGGAGAGTATAACAACCGTGGATTTTGATGCACGACCCTCTTCCGCCCACAACACAGCCTCACAGACCTATGACAGCCCGTTTGCGCATGGTGGTTACCCATACAATAACTATCCATGCTCATCCTGCTTAGCGCTTCCGAGATCTGACGTGATCAGGCACATTCCCGTGATTTGTTCTTAGGCAAACAAAACACACGTGATTATTTTATTTTTGCCCAGTATTTTGAAAACGCAATAACATGAGGTGTACAACACAGCAAGAGGCTGTCGCGAGGACCATCTTCCCAGCTAAAGCAGCACAAGCCTTAGAGCGGGCCACATTTAAAAACCTTCACCGATCCCTGCACGTTTTCCAGCAGTGCCATGTGACAGGGAGAGGCCCCAGGCTGATTGTGGGACATCGTGGCCCAGTCGAGAGGGGCCCAGCGCTGCCCAGAGCCCGGGGGGTCCCACACTGCAGTGAGCTCGCCCGAGCAGGTATCCCACACGGCCAGGGCACCGGAGGTGAAGGCTGCAGCCAACGTGCCACCGCCCAGAACTCCACACACAAAGCTGTCGGGGGAGCCACGGTTACAATGAGATGTCTGTTTTCTTTCTTATTTTCAATTTATTTTTGCCTCTGTATTGCTTTCCTGCCTCGATAACACTAGGTTATTATTTTTTATTCACCCGTCTATACCGGAAGCGGCGATGATCTGTATCATAGTTTTGATTTTCTACGATTGCTTTTTTGAAAATATAAATTCAATCAAATATGTATTCGATGTATGTTACATAATTGTGTTGCAGTAAGAGCACCAATCTTCAAGGGATGGAAGGAACACAAAAAGCAATATTTAACTGTAATGTTGAATATGTATTTGAAACATAATTTACATGAATGATGCTGTATAATATTAAATAACTATTACTATTAATTCAACATTAAGCAGTGAGAAAAGCATGGGATTCCTTTTGACATACACGAATCGTACATTATTTTAATTAGTTAATATCCAGGAGAGCCAGACTTGAGTCGTTTGACTCATTTTCATGACGTCCTGCATTGGGATTTTATTTTAAGATGTTTTAAGCCAATTGATGAGTGTGTTTATACAAGTGGGAGGAAACTGGAGCACCCGGAAAAAAACCCACGCATGCAAGAGAGCAAGCTCTATCCTCGAAAAGATGGAAAATGATGGTGATCAGTCCACTTGATGTACTGACATCTCCTGGCGAGCCAAATTATGGCAACCTCAATGCAAATGGGAAGAGTTTCACAACATTTGTAAGATCCACAACCCTAGCCTTCACACTACTGGATTAAATGCATGTGCAACCATTGCCTGGCAGACACTGTTAAGCGATATGCCCCGAGGTAGGGATGCTGTGCAAGATATACCAAGTACAGTATTCTTCTTCGAGCTACGGTTGTGTAGTGACTAGTGACGAATGTTGATTGAGCACCAATGATTTCACCGACCCCCATTCCCGCTATTCTCTTCCCCTTTTAAGTTATTTTCAACCCCATGATGTTGTAAAACAGAAATCTCAAACATGTCATGTTTACAATGTAAATTGCTACGATATGAGTCACATAAAAACACAATGGGGTTATAACCTTCTAAATCAGAAACAGAATGCCGTCAACTATGAACGAGCCCAGGGACATCAAAGATACGGGACAAATTATAAAGAGGCAGAGACCTCACCGAACGCAGGGGTTCCTGGAAAATTCCGTGTTGGGCAAAACTGAGTTCCTTAGATAATATATCTCATGGGAAAAATAGAGACTGCGTTCCTAATTCCGAAATGCTCACCCCATCACTCTACGTTGAACTAATTCTACATAATTTCTGACCCTTGTAATTGTACTAAAGGATGCCGAGTCGCTCTCCATGTCTTATGTGTGTAGTCTTTATATTTCAATTTCACCTCAACACAAAACCCCCGTGTCCATTACTCTTCCCACACAGCGGCACTCATGCCCAATGCTCGCTCTAAGTGTCCGTATGGCCGACGTGCTCAACGAGTGGACGGCTAGATCCATGCGGCAATGTGTGGACATTCTGTCGTTGTACGTGTCAAGTGTGTTACATTATCACACAACAAACAAAACCACATGCAATAGCATACATGGTAAATAAATCGTTCTCACGGTCAATTAATTCACACTTTCCAACGGATGCAGCACTCACACGTCACTACTTTTCGACGTGGAGATAATAATCTAAGCAGCGTCAAACCGCGTACAGCCGAAACATCACCTCCCGTGTTCCGGCAAACACACCTCATTAGGTTAACCGCGTGTGGCCAAAAAGGCGTTCAATAAAGCCATGTTGGGAAAGGATTTCCTGTATATATCTAGAAAATTATTCGCGTGTTATTATTAAACAAATAAATATTTCTTTCAATTGATGCAATGCCTCCTTCGATTCAATTAGCATGAGCTTGGGAAAAATCAGAGGCCTGGGCTTTGCGACTCACCCTGCCGTGTGCCCTGAAGGCAGCTGGTAGTGCGCGGCGGTGCAAGCTCGCCGGCTGCTTGGGTTGATGGCGGCGAGTGTGCAGGCGACGTTCTCAAAGGCGCTTGGCTCTGTGCAATCTTCTTCCTTGGAAATCTCGTCCATTGGACTCAGCACGGCAAACAGGAGTCCCTAGATCAAGTTACAAGGAAAAAAAACTCAGCTACCACAGCTACGTTCACACATGACCACCCAAACACAAAAGAACACACGCGCGCAAGCACACAAAGCAGGCACAACAAGCAGGCACAACTATCAAGGCAACGTTCAATGCAATAATTGACTCAATGAAAAATGAACTGCAGAGGTGCATCGCAAGTCTGCCATGTGAACTGTCGTGAAAGGATTTGTTTAAAAGCACAACGGAGGTACCTACCGAATCAGAAACAGCACGTCTGCACAATGAACATGGGCCAAGAAACGTCAAAGAAATGCGACAAATTATATGCCCGGATTTCACGTTCCTGTCAAAGTAAACAATACCACATGTTAAACAAAGCATATTTTGTATACACTAATAATTTGAGTCAGCATTACTTAATAATAGCCTGTAAACATTGATATTATTATTCTTCCCTTTCATGTGTGCATCTCAATAGGGCAGTGATTCAATATATTTGCGTGATGGCAGGAGGTATTGTTTTCCAGGTTATCGTGCAAACTAGTGTTGTTGATCATTACTGTACAATGCTAAAGCAGCTAAGCAAGCTTGGTTGGGTGACAACCTTGCATTTTATAGGCTGCTGCGGGACTTCTATGCTCCCTGCCTTCATCAACTCTAACAAGCATGGTGGTCAAATAACTACTACCACTCCCAGTATGGAGAGACCCTCATTCAGCAGTGGATCAGCACATTACTCAAGGGCGTGTACAACATCTGAAGCAATATATTTCACCAAATAATAAGGTCCTTTGATGCAGTGGAGCCAATCAGGGCTTCATCCTCTCCTGAAACATCACTGAGGGTGATGATATCATCATCAGGGGTTGAAAGATGTGACGCACAATGGCTCCTGCCAAGAACAAAAAGTACTTTCAAACCACATCGCAGCATTAACATGCATGACCGCTAAATAGCAGTCTACCTGAGCTCCATCACAAATCAAGCTTGTTATTAAAACAGAGACATTTTGAAGATGGACTCGAGTAAGCTGGAATTCGCACTAGGCCAGAAAGACAAGCCAAAAATAAATATAGCATTTCTTAAATAAACCAATAACACGCAATATGCAATTTAATTAATGCATGGCAGGTATACGGCATTCACTCTGCATGTGGTAATGGTGACTCGGAATAAACGAGCGATTGTCAAGTGTTTGTACATTATAAATATGTATTTGTTTCGTGTTATTTATATATGTTAGGTATTAATTGCATGTAAATGTACATGTACAGTGACATATAATTTAATTAGTTGTAGTATGCATCACATCGCCCCAAAGCCAGAAAGGCTCTCCACTATTAGTCCAGCTTTGAGAGGCTTTTACTGGACATTTAAAATTGTAATTTGTGTCTGTTTTGGCAGGTTCCGGACCCCATTTGCTCGTCAAAGGACAGCAGCGTTAGCGTCTGCATAAGCCTCCTCCGCGTGGCGCACACCACCCGCCGCTGCCGCAGCGCCACCACAGCCACCACGGTCTCTCCAATCAGAGGCTGGATCACCACCGCCGAGCCTCCCACCACATGCAAGATCCTGGGAAAAGAGAGACCAACGTTGTGGCCAAACAAGACTACTGGCGTTCATGAACATGTACTGCCCTTTTCTGCTGTCAATCGACTGCTGGATTAGGGCCTCTCCATATTGTGCGGGTCATGGGCATTGTTTGACCGTAGTTCACCACCATTGGTGTGAGTTGGTGTAGTAGCCAGCGTATTGCAGGACAACGGCGCATGTTTCTTCACTGCCCTCTGCTGCCCACAACGCAGCCTTGAAGCCTCACAACGACCGTTTAATACAAGGTCAGCCACCCAACAACGATCCAGGCTCAATACCGCTCAACTTTCAAGACCCCACGAGATCGGGAACATTCCGGGTGATTTTGATTTGGTTTTAGTCTACATGGTCCCCCTGATAAATATGAAAGAAAACCGAATGTCAAATTGGTGACCCAGGTCATTCTTGCAAATGAGGCCATCTTGGTCTTTTGAGTTCTCACCTGGCTTCACAAAATACATTTACAACGTGAAACCTGGGCTTACCAGCCCATTACATCTGCCTTGCAAAAAATAGGTGAGCAAATGCCATCGACAACTGATGTTGTAAAAAAATAGCTCTTACCTCACATTATCAGCTACTGCCACCAGTCGTGGAGATTGAGAGTCTTGGATGAGAACCAACTTGGAAACTTCTGCTCCCTATTGGCAACACAAACCAGAAGTTTTATCACCAAACCAAAATAAGCAAAGGCCTTTCAATGACTGTGTCCAATAAAAGGCAATTCTCTAAGTAAAAAGGCGATGATTACTCACATCAGTCAAGACCCATGTATGGATTTCTTGCCATTGTCCATCTTCCCAGTGCTCAGCCCACAAGGAAACAAGGCCTTTCTGAGCAATAATGAGGCACCTGCAAGGGTGTCCTTGAAGCTCCCAGAATGCACTGCACAGGGCCTCAATGCTTCCACTTGCTGAGCACTGTCAATTTCACACAAAAGACATTAAACAATCATCATGATATAACTGTATCCATACACACAAGGCTTAAATTAGTACTACGTCACATCTTATCGAGCAATGTTGTTTGTATTTAAAAGATACAAAAAGGTACACATTACAGCATTTTTACATGTACAGCTCTTTTACCAATCCGCTGCTGAACGAGTCTCCCCACACTGTGCGGGTCATGGGGGTTATATGACCATACCTCACGACGTTGGTTAAGTACAGGTTGATGAAGGTGGTGACCATAGATTTTAGAGCATTGAACAGCATAGCAATGGGTTTTCTGCACTGCACTCTGCTCACAAAGAGGCTAGTTATGAATACTGTATTAAACTCTCTAATACGGCCAAATCCCCAATCCACTTTCAGTAACATTAATTCACTGTATCGAGGACGGTGCACTCACAACATACCTGAATCGTAGCCATCAAGTCTAACTGCCAGTGAAATTTCTGCTTGGGCGCTCCTTGGGTTGCGTCCATAGGATTGTTCTCACCATCACTAACAAGCGGAACAGAGCTCTCTGCCTGGTCTCTGTGCACGTTTAGTTCATGTGGACTCATCTGTACCACTGCTGCTGCGTTGTCGGGCTGTGAAGGATGAATAAACACAGTCTCTGGCCTCACAAATTCTTGATGTTCCCAACCCTGCAGCTCAGCACCAGAGCACTGGGAAGATAATTCTGCTCCATCTCTCATAGGAGGCTGTCCCTCGTGACAAACTGGAGTAGCAGCTGCAACCGCCGGTGGCAGCTCCCCTTTGCAGGAGCTTGCAACATTCATGTCGCTGTGGGTAAAATCCTTAACTTTGTTTACTTGTGGATTAGGGGCACACTCTCCATTTACATCTGCATATTGTGGATCTGAATTGAGCTGTTTCACCAAGCCACTGGTCTGTGACAATCCACAGACTTGGCTCAGAGGCAGTGAAAGAGGGCTAAATCCCACTGACAACCGCGGTGGTGATAAATGTAAAGCAGGCATCTCATCGAGTTGCACATGTCCACTCTCGACTGGAGTGGACAGGATGACAGTAGTGGACAACTGTGCCTTGGCATCTCCACAGCCAAGTTTTAGTGATTTATCCATTACATTGTCATCTGGGCAGCTTGCATTTGCTTTTTCAAAGCATTCATCTTCTTGTGGGGCTACGTCATTTTCTTCATGGCACTTCTCTTCACATGGAACACCTAAGGCAGCTCCAACATTTACTTTTTCTGCACCCTGTTTGGAAATGCAAGACCACCGATACACATTTTACCATCACTGAACAAACATAATTGTGCACACTTCATTTAATCAAAAGTGAACGTAACCATTTACTACTGTGTTGTGTTTAGCTCTAGAAAAAGTGGCCTGTAATGCCTGACCTCGTGAGCAGTGATTCGTGGATTGGTCAAGGTTCCGGTGTTGAGTTCTGTATGAGCGTGGAGTCGCTTCAGCTCAGCAAACTCGTTGTCGGGCAGGGAAAACTCGTCAACGACACGACGCCGACCTCGGGACTTTGTTTGCAGGCATGAGAGCATCAGGCCCAGCGAAAAGGTCAGCTCTTGTGAAAATGATGAAATATCTGCACCCTCAAAATCTTCACAAGGCACAAGTGCCCCAGAAGGGAGAATTATTTCACTTTAAAATGCATGAAAATGTAAAGTTACAGAGTACTGTTATTTAAAGAGGAATAAATTCGCTAAAATAGCCAATATGTACACAATATATATCGTCTCCGACTATACACCTTATTGGTAATGGGTTTTTTTTTTACTGATCAGTGCAGACCGGTTCAGATATCACTCGCCACTGACATTAGTTGTGGCTATTAATCAAACGGTTTGCAGCGTAGCGCACAAACCACTGCGCTACTGCTCCACTCCATTGCATGTTTATCATTGTATGTTTATCGTACATGCATTACGATTTCAAGATAAAAAGGGAGCACTGTAGAATGTGCCTACCCGTGGGTCCCTGCTCCTCCTGTCCCTGTGCTGTAGCCGCTGGGGACCGTTGCTCCCGCGTGTCTGATCCGGTGCTCAGTGATGAGCTGCGCAAGGGGGGTGCATTGCTCCATATGTTGCACTGCGTGTCAGGGATCAGATCCTCGCTCTGGCAGCACCCACACACCCACGATATTCAGCAGATGCACAGGGTTACCATCAACATCACTCTAAATTGTATGGCATTTTAATTGTCTTAAAACCGTCACATTTTTTAGGTGGTCAGGCACTTCCGGTCAGAGCACCGAGCTGACACTGCCAAGATGCTGGATTTGCATCAAGACAGCCTCCTGTGATTAAACCGGGTCCTAAAGGGTAGAGAGTTGGTCTCAACCGAATCACTAATTATCATACTCAAAAAAACACAAACATAAAATTTGGTTCTACATTTTGACTAAATTCAAGTTCTGATAATTAATACATTTCTTAGAGGGTTGACAGTCATGGGACAAACATTGGTCTTTGGCAGAGCATGTGGGAAAGTACTGCCCCCTACTGCGTTGTTCAGGTCACTTGAAGGGTTGTCAGAGGTAACTCTGCAATATCCACTTCCATGCGCCATTCTCTAACATGCGAGGTTTCACTGTTCTGTGGGAGATACGAATCAATACTTCTACACATGTGATGGCATTATCACAATTGGGTCAAAGTGGGAGAAAAACATGCTTTAAGTCACATGTTTTCTGTATCTCTGCCTATACAATTAAGAGAAACTCAAGAACACATGTTAAACGGAGGCCATATGACCTAATAGGACAGTACCTTTCATCATATAAATTTTCATAAATTCCACAGTTCATTATAATAGAATACTTATTTGTATTATTTTATTACAGGCATATGTAATATAAAAGCTCTAGTCTCAATCAAAGCATGAATCAAATTATGGATGCAATCTTCTCTCCAATCTAAAATGCTGTTACAATAATAAAAAACAAACCATTTGCTATATTTTTCTATTAAATATAACATGTGAAGAATGCAAATGTGAGTACCTGGTTTTCAGAATCTCTTGCCGTTGCTAATTCTGGTCCAACATCAGAACACTCTTTATGAATACTGATGCCATTCAAATCATGACAGCCCAATGCCACGATATCGTTTGTAATGTCTCGTACTTTCAATGGCACCGTTATATTCTCATACATCGAAGCACCCACACCCTCATCGGTTACAGACGATGGCAAACTCTGGATGCCAGAATTTTCAATGGATTTGTATCGCCAACAGACCTTGGATCCATTTTGCTTCCCTTTCACCCTCCCTCTGCGCCTGATGCTCAGTACACGCCGTTTCAGGACCCCAGTGTTGCAATCAACCTCGGTGTCCGTGAGGCATTCCCTGGCCACCACCGGTGTGTCAACGAAGGTCTGCGAGATACCTTCATTAAAAATAACAGACTTGAGACCAGACACCTCCACCAGCTGAGGCTGACTTTCGCTAGTTACAGGTAAGCAAGATACACTCTTTTCAGATGATGCCGTCGAATTGGAGCTCTCAAACAGTAATTGTGTCTCTGGGCTCGTATTTTCTTCGCTCTGACTCGATGCATTTTTTTTTCTACGAGATATCCTGGCTCTTGAGGCTCCCTTACCACCTTCACAACTCCTATGCGAGACAGACAAGCCATCACCATGGGTTAAAATTTACCAACTTTAAATAAACCACTCGCAAATAACTTCAAAACTGGTGTGTTACGGTTATTTTTCATTGCGGTTAGCAATGTCTTATTATACCATTGCTTCAGCCTTTGGAAAGAATCCCCAAAAAATATTTAGCATATTACCATGGGTGTACCAGAATTACATTATATCATATTTAATTACATCAAAACAATATAAGCATGTTTTGTATTTTGAGAACCCTTGAAAAGTAGAATAAGTAAATATACGGGCTTAAAAAACTAATTTAAAATATATCCACTGAAAGAAAAACTGATGGTAACATTAACGAGCAGTTATGAATATAGCACTGGGCTAATATTACTTTCTGTCAAGGTAGACTCGCAAACAAGCCAGAGAAGCATCCAGGTTGATATATTCTTGTAGTGCACTTATTTAGTTCAGCATGGTTGTGCTAAAGGAAACATTAAAAGCTTTAATACAGCAAAAATACAATAAATGCTTCTCTAATAAAGTATTAGAGGAGAGAATGGTGTCACCACCTGGTTTTTAAGTGGTTGTTAATGACGGCCTGCAGATCCACCTCACTGCGGCGACTGGCCATGCCACGTGTGGTTCGCACGTAATACTCCACGGGGAACGGGAGTCCGTTCACCAGCGTGTGGGAGGTTCCCGGCTCTGTTCCGTGGACCTCAGTCGCACATCTTTGCTCATCGGCATTAGCTTCTCTGCAGGTTTCACTCGGCTGTGTTTGTGGTAAATTATTTTCCTTCTTTTTTACAATCGATCCTGGAATGTCAGAGCACTGAATTTTGTGTTCCATGGCTATGCATTTCTCACTTTGACATCCAGAGGCTTTTAAATCTGACTGAGTATAAGTCCCTCCCTGTGCAATGCAGTCTTCTTCATTGATGTCTAATTCAGGGGTATCTGAATTTTCAAGTGCCGTTTCTTCGTAGTGTTTGACCACTGCCTCATTATTCATCTTTTCAGTTGGTTTATTGTCAACAGCCAAACGCTCTCTGGAAATACTGCTCACATTTTCAATACCAATTACTTCTTGAATGGCATCAACGTCTTTCAAATCCCCAGCATATTGATTTAGTTTTGCAATGTCTTGGATACTTTGCCAACCAGAAGCCTCAGGAGATTGTATATTGCTTCCGGAGTACTCTTGCACAGGATTATTTGCAGAAATATTGGATTTCAATAGCAAGGAACTCATTTCATTTTGTTCAGGAAGGCGCTCATCAGAATGTGGATCATTATTTTTGGAAGACGTTAATGTGTGAATGCTGTCAACTTCATGTTCAGCTCTTTGTGATCGCAAAGAGCTTCTACTGCACCTCCTGTTGCTGCTAGAAAAGTTGTAGTCAGATGGTTTATTATGCTGTGAGCTCTTAGCAACACAAGGAAAATCTGACATGGTTTGTTTTGTATAAAACTTTTTTTGTAAATAAATTTTTCCGCTCTCCAGAACCCCATTGCTTATCTCCGAAGAAGTAGAACTCTTAGGGCTGTCATGTTTGCTTCCTTGCGGGGCCTGTATTCTGCAAGAGTTACCTTGCTTTTGACTCCTCTGTGTCCATCCATGTTCAACTTCACTACTACATGTCCCATCTGTGGTCCTTTGTTCGGTAAGTGCTTTGCTTATTCTCACATTTCTTTCATCCGTATTTGTCTGTTGGTCGCATTGGGTTACATTTCCCAATTCACGGCCAGTTCTTGCTTCAGACTGAAAATACGAATCTGTGTTTGCCTCACCCAAGACAGTTTCAAGCCTTGGCTCTGTCAATGGCTCAGACACTTTCCTGGCACCACTCTCCGGGATGTAATGCAACGTGATCACTTTGGGCTGTGATTTGAAATTGACAGTTGCCACCTTTTCTTGGTACTTTTTTGGAAAACCAACAGCAGCTGAAATTTGGTTTTCATTGTAAATATGATCATTCCCATCATCTAAAAATGAATGAAAATGGGAGAATATTAAAAGGGCAATTTACCAGCACATGTTAGTTTTGTATATGGTACATCCATACTTTCTTCCTCGTACAAAACAATGTTTTTATTACCGCATATTTCTAACATTATGATTCGTCATGACTTTTACACACATATATACCCTCAAGTTAAAAACTCCAAACTTAAATGATCACCTGTGTAAAAATGAGTCCAGCCGTGCTTCTGAACATTTGTGTAGCATACTCTTTGGTCTTTCGGTAAAGTCACGTAGGTAGGAAAAAATAATAAATCACGACATGTCGATCGTCACACAAGCAATCGTCCTCAGGTGGGATAGATCCCACCTGAGGACGATTATCTATTATTTTTTATACCTACATGACTTTACCGAAATAACCAAAGAGCATGGATTCCTGCAGTCACGAAAGCTTCAAATCACGATTTGTGTAGCAATTACCTATAAAATTATAAATTCACAGCCCTTTGTAAATCCACTGCTGGATGAAGCCCTCGCCATACCATGCCCGTCATGGGGGTTGTTTTACCAGAGCTACCATGCTAGTTAGTTCAGGCTAATGAAGCAGTGATTCCAGAACACATTTTAGATATCACTAGCCAATGATCTTAGCTGTGGCCGAGACTCAAACTCAGGTAGGTTGGTTCATCGTGCAGTGCACAAATCACTGCGCTGCCACTTAACCTAGACTGCAATTAGCCAATGAGTACTATACTGAATCCAATCATATTTAAATGTTTATACACGATTGCATAAATATTGCATAAGAGGATCACTACTTTACCCAGTCCGTGTTCCTCACGGTTCCCTTCCAGAAGCAGATGGTTTTGCTCTGCAATGGTCCTCCTGACATGCGAGCGAACTCTGTCAATCTTCTCCACTCTCTGCAAAGGAGCAGGTGGTTTACACAAACGTGTTATGATGATCTGTTACCAAATACATCTGCACAAAGCATTCATGCACTTGTATATACACCAAAACATTGCCCATCGCGGATTCGACTATTGGTGTCAAATTTTTTGCAGTACTGTACAGTTCGCTTATCGCGTCCATGCCTCTGCCATGAGCAGTTTTGACCGCGAGATACCTATACAGTATCGCAAATCAAGCTTGTTGTTAAAACAGAGACATTTTGAAGATGGACTCGAGTAAGCTGGAATTTGCACGAGGCCAGAAAGACAAGCCGAAAATAAATAAAGCATTTTTTAAATAAACCAATAACACACAATTTGCACTTTAATTAATGCATGGCAGGTATACGGCATTCACTCTGCATGTGGTAATGGTGACTCGGAATAAACGAGTGATTGTTAAGTGTTTGTACATTATAAATATGTATTTGTTTCGTGTTATTTATATGTTAGGTATTAATTGCATGTAAATGTACATGTACAGTGACATATAATTTAATTAGTTGTAGTATGCATCACATCGCCCCAAAGCCAGAAAGGCTCTCCACTATTAGTCCAGCTTTGAGAGGCTTTAACTGGACATTTTAAGTTGTAATTTGTGTCTGTTTTGGCAGGTGCCAAATTTTTTGAAGTACTGTACAGTTCCCTGATCGCGCCCATGCCTTTGCCATGAGCAGTTTTGACCGCGAGATTCCTATACAGTATATATCGTAAAGTACTGTACACTAACTGCACACTGCCTGCAGTGACGCTCTCGTGAAAAAATACACGTCATCATTAGTCAGTATTTTTATTTTAAAAAATACTGCATGTTTACTATACATGATCCTTATATTTATTTATTTTAAGGTTTACTTTTCCGTATACAGTACATTACTTACTGTCCCCCACATTTTTTTTTATACATTTACTGTAATAGTTTTATTTAACACTATAGAGAATATTAATTATATTTTACATGTAATGTAGGATAACAAAATAAAAGGAGGGATGGAGTGTCATATTACGTATCGTGATACAATCTCTATTTTTCCCATATGCCTTTGAGATTGTGGATTTTCTGAATGCGGCTATTATTCAAGAACATAACTTCCGCGCTGGGCTAAATTTTGGTATATATTTGAAATTCCACAGAAATTAAGCTTATTGCAGGTTTCTATTGGGGTCCTAGGGAAATGCAAAAGGAATCTAACGTGAAAATCGATTACCTCCAGTTTCTGCTGTACTTTTACATATTGCTTCTTCAACAACGCCAGCCTCTGCTTCAACTAAGATTGTACAAAAAAAGGTTTTAGTGTCACATTGTATCAAGTTGCATATTTACACATTTCCATATGCTGTATGTAAAACGCCGCAATGGACCATTTCGATGCATTCTACCTTTTCTTTTTCTTCCGTCGATATTTTCATCTTTTTAGTTTCTGCAGAATCCATGCTGGCGGTGTGATTTTTGTCATCTTCAAACAGAAAAAGCATGTTCACTGCAAATGTATTAATTTAACGCGTAGGCTTCCACGATCAATATTGATTCATAATCGATTTTTGGGTAATCAGTGTCGCAACACCCTCCTCCACCCGACACAACCAAATAAATAAAATTGCATGTGAACAAAATGCGCCAATGTATTATTGCTTCAGCACACCAGTATGTTGGAGGGGAATCCACAATTTTAAACCCTGTGGATTGTTGGGTGGAGGGTGTACGGCACACATTGGCATTTTATACTGTATTCTATGGTTCTTTTGGTAAAGTCACGGAGGTAGAAAAATAATACCAATAAAATAATACATATTAAAATGAAGTGATTAAAAAATAATAAAATATCACGTTTCGATCGCAACACAAGCGATCGTCATCAGGAACAGAAGCATAAGTGACCAACCAATCATAATCTTACAAGTTCATTTATGCAGATGACCCTTGGAGCAACAGTGTTTAAAAATTTACCAGTGCACAAACCTAAAGACCATTGACAATGCTCTAACAAGGTATTGGAGTCATATTTCCAACCTTGGACACTCCAAGACAAATACCTCCAAAGCCACCACAAGTGCTTTCCATCTGAACAATCCCGCAGCAAATGCCATCCTTGACGTGACATTCTGTGAGAACCCAGTATGCTATAACCCCACCCCCAAGATATGAACCTTATGGCAGTACCCGAGGGTACCATAGTACCCCGGCTCACGCATAATGTCCGTGAAGCAGTAATTTTTAGTTTGTTGATGGTCGGTGATGCGGCAATCGACTCATCTCGACGAGCTGTACACGATACGCTATGGTGCATATGAGCGTTCAGGGTTTCAGCGCAATCGTTCCCGCTGCGTTTCGACATCGCGGAGTAGCACTGATTTCGGATTGGAAAAAAGTGTCCCAGAAATCAAATATTTAATTGCCTCTGCCATTCGGTATTATTTGGTACGCCAGGGTACCGCAATAAGGATCATATCTTGAGGTTATCATGGACAGAAACCTGATCTTCAAGCCCCACGTAGAATGGATCTGTGAAAAGACCAAATAAAAAACTTCCTGCTACTGAAACTTGCAGGAGCGACCTGGGGCATCTCAGATGATGTGCTGCAAAACTGCTGCTCTCTCACTGATTTACTCAGTGGCAGAGTACAACAGACACGTCCATGAGCTGAGAGTAAATTCCGTTACTGGGTCACCAGAAACAATCACCAACACCATCATGGTCACTACCACCAACACCATAACCACTATCAACAACATCATTACCCACCAGGTCCAGGAGCTCAAACACAACACTTTTAGATGTACAATTGGAAAACACAATGTGCACCTGTATCAGGAACATTGAAAACCTATACCAACCACCAGTCTCCTTGTTCTGGCGAATATTCTGCCATCAAATATCTGCAGTGACATGCACACTGCAAGGGCGTCTACGAGTTTTCTTGCTAACGACAGCCTACCCAACAATCAACACCTCAACAATGCACTTTACCGCCAACGCAATTCACCCAACTCCCGAAGAATTCAGGCGAACAGAATGTAACCTCATCGGGACCCAAAAATCGCACCTCCTAGCTTTGACAACCCTCGAAGACACCCGAGTGCCATCAACCGCATCAGAACATCAACTGGACGATGCGCACATCTCCTTAATAAATAAAAAATCAAAGACAAGCCACGGGTGTGACTGTGAGCCAATGACCACATAGTAAACCACTATAGTCTGCACTCCTTCAAAGGAGCAATTAGCAAGACCGCACCAACTCTCTCCTGTAGCCCATTTCGCGGCTAGCATACCTCGATATTGGCATTTAGAGACTGAATATATTGCCATAAGGAAAAGAACGCAATGCACGCCCGCAAAATAACCTAAACCATAAGATTCGTATTATAAAAACGCAGGTAAACTGTTTTAATAGCTCTGAAAATAAGGGAGACCAACGCATACCTTATCAATGCCCTACCTTAACACATAACTTATTGGTCACCCCGTGCCCTTATAAATCTCTAACGTTAATCCTACAAAGTCCCATCACAAGGGAGAAACACAAAAAATAGACGTACTGTACATAAATAAATCGGCTAACCGTATTGAAACGGCTGTAGGCCGTATGGACCTGAAAACTCAATTTCCCTGTACAAAGAATACGGGGTTAAACGGTATGAGTTGACACGGTATGCAAACGCACTGCTCTGTAGTCATAGAAAAGTAATGATTTATAGTGCCATAAAATGATAACCCTCGACTCCGGTTATACACAGCACACAATGTAACCGAAGGGTTCAATCCGTGCATTTACAGTACATGTGCTTGCCATGGTATAGGCGCTAGACAAATATGGTACACTTGATGCGTAACATTGAACAATTGAACAAGAGAAAGAACGGTACAGTCGTGGAGGCTAGCAGCCTATGAACTCATTAAGAGATTAGTAATTGTGGTGACGATTGTGATGATGGTAGTAGTGATCGTGGTGATATTGGTAAAGATGGTGGTTATGGTGGTAAATACGGTGATGATGGTGATGATAGTAGTAATGATCGTGGTGATACTGGTAAAGATGGTGGTTATGGTGGTAAATACGGTGATGGTGATGATGGTAGTATTGATCGTGGTGATATTGGTAAAGGTGGTGATGATGGTAGTAATGATCGTGGTGATATTGGTAAAGATGGTGGTGATGGTAGCAAACACGGTGATGGTGATGATGGTAGTAATGATAGTGGTGATATTGGTAAAGATGGTGGTGATGGTGGTAAATACGGTGGTGATGATGGTAATGATCGTGGTGATATTGGTAAAGATGGTTACGGTGATGGTGGTGATGGTAGTAATGATCGTGGTGACATTGGTAAAGATGGTGGTGATGGTGGTAAATACGGTGATGGTGGTGACGATGGTAGTAATGATCGTGGTGATACTGGTAAAGATGGTGATGGTGGTAAATACGGTGATGGTGACGATGGTAGTAATGATCGTGGTGATATTGGTAAAGATGGTGGTGATGGTGGTAAATACGGTGATGGTGGTGATGATGGTAGTAATGATCGTGGTGATGGTACGGTACTGCAATGACAGAGGTTATTTTTGTGATATTGGTGATGGTGTTGGCGATTGCTTCTGGTGACCCAGTAACGTAATTTACTCTCGGCTCACGGACGCATATGTTGTGAGCACCCAGGCGTTTAGCGAGGGGGGTCCATGTGAGTTGGAGTCGTCTTTAGTTCGTCATTAACATGGTTGAGTACTCGTGTCTACTCAGTGAGTACAACGTTGAGTACTCAGTACTATGCTGTGCTCTTTACGTACCACCGATTGGTAGTTGTGCTTAGTACTCTGCTCAGAACTAACTCGTGTATGGACGATTGCTGTTGATGAATCTTGCTGTATTGAAGTTACCTGTGTAGTACTATCTCGAGTGCTTAGGAAGTAGTATATATTATGTGAAGTATTATGTTCAGCGAATACTACGAGTGGTTAGTATTGTGCTAGTATTAGTACCAGTGAGTTCAATGTTCAGCACTCGTGCCGAGTATTGCACTCATATACTCAGTGCTACATTAATATTCTCAATAGTATTTGTGTTTAGTATCGAGTACTGTACTCGTGCTTAGTAGTGCACGAATATACTCAGTACTTTAAGTATTACCAGTACTCGTGCTTAGCGGGTACTGCACTGACATTCTCAATACTAGATAGATAAAAAAAAGTATTTAGTTAAAACCGACTTTTTTGTGTGCATAAGTTTGCTTCGCCCTCCCCACCACCACCACGCATCTACGACGAGCGCTGTTGGCTACGTACGGCGCGAAAGAAGTTAAGCACACGCATGTGTTTAGTCATGTGGCGAGTACTCGCGACTCGTGAGTACTTTGCTAAGGTACTCTGCGAACTCTAAGGGTGGAAGAAAGGGGGAAGGGGGGGGGGCATCGCGGCTCATTCGTCAGGCCGCCGCCGCCTCACGCCGTGAGGAGACTCCGGCCCGGGCCCGGGGTGCCGCGAGCCGTCGACGGGACGCGAGCGAGCGGCAGAACGATCGAGGTTTACCAGCGTCTTTATAACCACGACGGCGTCTCTCCATTGTCTCCGCAGAGATCGTGGCGGGACTCGGGATGATGATGATGAGCAGGAGGATTGTGGGGGGGGGGGGGACGGACGGACGAGTTCGCGTTCCCTCACGGGGCCGCGTCGCCGATGTTTTGGCGCCAAAAAAAAGTTAAAGAGCTGCAGCGGCGGACCAGTGGAGGGCGACACACGCGGGGCGGTTCACACCGCCCACCACCACCACGCCCCCCCCACCACCACCACGCCCCCCCCCCACCACCACCACGCCCCCCACCACCACCACCACGCCCCCCACCACCACCACCACGCCCCCCCACCACCACCACGCCCCCCCACCACCACCACCACGCCCCCCCCCACCACCACGCCCCCCACCACCACCACGCCCCCCCCACCACCACCACGCCCCCCCACCACCACCACGCCCCCCCACCACCACCACCACGCCCCCCCCACCACCACCACCACGCCCCCCCACCACCACGCCCCCCCACCACCACCACCACGCCCCCCCACCACCACCACCACGCCCCCCCCACCACCACGCATATATTATCATAGTCTGTTTTTTGTTTGTATTTTTACTGCAGGTATTGTGGTTAATGCAGACATGGATCCTTGTAAAAAGGTTTCAGTTTTGTTACCATAAAAATGGGAAAAACCCTATTATTACATTTTGGTACTGGCAAAGGAGGTCTAATCAGAATCAGAAAGGGTTTTATTCGCCATGTAAGTTCACACCGACACGGAATTTACTTTGGCAGGATGGTGCATACATTCAACATATAGGAATCTAAAATCTTAAATAAGTTTTAAACAAGTCTTACTATAATAAGGGTTAAAAGTCTAACACTAAGAGGCTGAAGTATATAAAATTAAATAAATATCGAATATAAAATAGCTTTAAGATATAATTTAAAAATACAAATAGGGAAACATAGTTAATATCAGCAACGTGTCGTTATGTAGATCAAATGTTAAAAACAGTGTTAGCCCTTGGCCTTGTTTAACAGGCCAGCAGCAGATGGGAAGAAACTGTTTTTATGGCGTGAGGTTTTGGTCCTGATGGACCGAAGCCTTCTGCCGGAGGGGAGTAGCTGAAACAGAGAGTGTCCAGGGTGGGAGAAATCGGCCATAATCTTCCTCGCTCGCCTCATAGACCTTGTCGTGTGCAGGTTCTCGAGGGTCGGTAGATTGCAGGCAATTACCTTCTCAGCAGTGTGGATGATACGCTGCAGTCTGCTCTTGTCCTTGGCAGTGGCAGCAGCGTACCAGACGGTTATGGAGGAGGTGAGGATGGATTCAATGATCGCTGTATAGAATTGCACCATCATTGTCTTTGGCAGGTTGAATTTCTTCAGCTGCCGTAGAAAGTACATCCTCTGTTGAGCTTTCTTGGTGAGGGAGCTGATGTTCAATTCCCACTTGAGGTCCCGGGAGAGAATAGTGCCCAGGAAGCGGAAGGACTCTACAATTTTTACTGGGGAGTCTAACAGGGTGATGGGGGTGAGTGGTGCTGTATTCTTCCTGAAGTCCACAACCATCTCAACTGTCTTTAGAGCATTTAGCTCTAAGTTGTTCTGGCTACACCAGGTCACCAGATTGTCAGCTTCCCACCTATAGTCAGACTCATCCCCACCAGAGATCAGCCCAATGAGGGTGGTGTCATCCGCAAACTTCAATAGTTTGACGGACAGATGATTGGAGGTGCAGCTGTTGGTATACAGGGAGAAGAGCAGAGGGGAAAGGACGCAGCCCTGAGGAGTTCCGGTGCTGATGGACCTGGAGCCAGAAACTTGTGTTCCCAGCTTAACGCACTGCTTCCTGTCAGACAGGAAGTCTGTGATCCATTTACAGGTGGTGTATGGCACGTTCAGCTGGAAGAGCTTGTCCTGAAGCAGGGCAGGGATGATGGTGTTGAAGGCAGAGCTGAAGTCCACAAACAGGATCCTGGCGTAGGATGCTGGGGCGTCCAGATGCTGTAGGGTGAAGTGGAGGGCCATGTTAACTGCATCCTCCACAGACCTGTTGGCTCTGTAGGCAAACTGAAGGGGGTCCAGGAGAGGGTCTGTGATGGCTTTGAGGTGTGCCAGGACCAGGCGCTCAAAAGACTTCATTACCACAGATGTAAGGGCGACCGGTCTGTAATCATTTAGTCCTGTTGGCCTTAGCTTTTTGGGCACAGGGATGATGGTGGAGGACTTGAGACAGGCTGGTACATGGCATGTCTCCAGGGAGGTGTTAAAGATGTTGGTGAACACCGGAGACAGCTGGTCAGCGCAGTGCCTGAGGGTGGCTGGAGAGACAGAGTCCGGCCCGGCTGCTTTGCGTGGATTCTGCCTCTTGAAAAGTCTATTAACTTCTCCCTCCTGAAAGGAGATAGTCGTCTCTGTAGTATTGGTGGGGGATGGGGCCTCTTGGGTTGGAAGGGGTGGTTCAGGACAGTCCAATTGTCTTTCAAATCTACAGTAGAACTCGTTCAGGTCGTTGGCTAGGCGGGAGTCGTTAGTGGTGTGGGGGGCTCTGGGTTTGTAGTTGGTGATCTGCCTGAGCCCTCTCCAGACAGAAGCAGCGTCGTTTGTAGAGAACTGGTGTTTTAGTCTCTCTGAGTACAGTCGTTTAGCCTCTCTCACCGCTTTGCTAAACCTGTTCTTCGACTCCTTGAATCTGTCTCTATCTCCACTCCTAAACGCTTCCTCCTTCTCCAACCTCAACCTTCTGAGCTTTGCTGAGAACCAGGGCTTATTGTTGTTAAAGTTCACCCTGGTACGTGTTGGGATACAGCAGTCCTCACAGAAGCTGATGTAGGACGTCACAGCCTCTGTGAGTTCATCCAGACTATTGGTAGCAGTCGTGAACATATCCCAGTCAGTACAGTCTAAGCACGCCCACAAATCTTCCACAGCCTCACTGGTCCACTGTTTAGATGTCCTCACAGCAGGTTTACAGAGTTTTAGTTTCTGCCTGTATGCAGGAATCAGGTGGACCATGGCATGGTCAGAGTGTCCTAGTGCTGCTCGGGGGACGGCGTGGTAGGCTCTACTGACTGTAGTGTAGCAGTGTTCCCTTCTCTGGTTGGGCATTTAATGAATTGTATGTATTTGGGGAGTTCGTGGCTGAGATTACCTTTGTTAAAGTCGCCAAGTACGATAACCAACGAATCTGGATTTGCTCGCTCCACACTCAGAATCTGATCGGCGAGCATGCGTTGGGCCTCTTTAACCTGAGGACAAGGCGGCAAATAAACTCCGACCAAAATGAGCGACGCGAACTCGCGAGGCGAGTAAAACGGTTTACAGGTTATAAAAATTGATTCAAGGAGTGGAGAACAATGTTGCAGAATCACTGTGACATCTACACACCAGCCACTGTTAATGTAAAAACAAATACCACCGCCTTTCGTCTTGCCGGAGAGTGCTATGTCACGATCCGATCTTACAAGATGGAATCCTGCTAGTTGTAGCGAAGTGTCCGGAATCAAATCACACAGCCATGTTTCCGTGAAGCACAATGCAGAAGCTGAAAGAAAGTCTTTGTTTTTTACCATCAGTAGCTGAAGTTCATCCATTTTGTTGTACAGTGAACGTACGTTGGAGAGGAAAAAGCTCGGAAGCACTGTTCGGATCCCGCGTCTGCGTAGCCGTACTAGAGCCCCCGACCGTTTACCCCTTGGGCGGCGTTTCGTTGCTTGAGCAAAGCCTAGCGCGGCATTGACTAGAATGCCTACTAATTCTGCCGCTGGAAGCAGAAAAGTAGGAATTAAATCCACAGGAGTTGTTTCCCTGATATTTAAAAGTTCGTCTCTTGTTAGAGAACTCCGAAAATCTTGGCAAAACACTGAATTGACAGACAAAACAAGACAAAACAGGGCGCACCGACCGGCTGAGGCTACCATCATCAGCGCCATCTTCGCACCAGCACGGGTGTGCTGAACAGCAGGACTCTCTCACCAGCACTGGTGTGTTGAACAGTAGGCCCCTCTCACCAGCATGGGAGTGGTGAACAGCAGGCCCCTCTCACCAACACGGGTGTGATGAACAGTAGGCCTCTCTCACCAGCATGGGAGTGAACAGCAGGCCCCTCTCACCAACACGGGGGTGATGAACAGCACGCCCCTCACACCAGCACGGGTGTGATGAATAGTAGGCCTCTCTCACCAGCACGGGTGTGATGAACAGCAGGCCCCTCTCACCAGCACGGGTGTGTTGAACAGCAGGCCCCTCTCACCAGCACGGGTGTGTTGAACAGCAGGCCCCTCTCACCAGCACGGGTGTGTTGAACAGCAGGCCCCTCTCACCAGCACGGGTGTGCTGAACAGTAGGCCCCTCTCACCAGCACGGGTCTGTTGAACAGCAGGCCCCTCTCACCAGCACGGGTGTGCTGAACAGTAGGCCCCTCAACACGGGTGTGCTGAACAGCAGGCCTCTCTCACCAACACGGGTGTGCTGAACAGTAGGCCCCTCAACAGCAGGCCCCTCTCACCAGCACGGGTGTGCTGAACAGCAGGCCCCTCAACACGGGTGTGCTGAACAGCAGGCCTCTCTCACCAGCACCGGTGTGCTGAACAGCAGGCCCCTCAACACGTGTGAGCTGAACAGCAGGCCTCTCTCACCAGCACCGGTGTGCTGAACAGCAGGCCCCTCTCACCAACACGGATGTGATGAACAGCAGGCCCCTCTCACCAGCACGGGTGTGCTGAACAGCAGGCCCCTCAACACGTGTGAGCTGAACAGCAGGCCTCTCTCACCAGCACGGGTGTGCTGAACAGCAGGCCCCTCTCACCAGCACGGGTGTGCTGAAAAGCAGGCCCCTCTCACCAGCACGGGTGTGTTGAACAGCAGGCCTCTCTCACCAGCAAGGGTGTGCTGAACAGCAGGCCCCTCAACACGGGTGTACTGAACAGCAGGCCTCTCTCACCAACACGGGTGTGCTGAACAGCAGGCCCCTCTCACCAGCACGGGTGTGCTGAAAAGCAGGCCCCTCTCACCAGCACGGGTGTGTTGAACAGCAGGCCTCTCTCACCAGCAAGGGTGTGCTGAACAGCAGGCCCCTCAACACGGGTGTACTGAACAGCAGGCCTCTCTCACCAGCACGGGTGTGATGAACAGCAGGCCCCAAAACAGCAGGCCTCTCTCACCAGCACGGGTGTGATGAACAGCAGGCCTCTCTCACCAGCACGAGT